CCGGGACGGAGCACGCCGGGTTCTCACCGGACCAGGCTCTCACATCACCAAGCGCGAAGCGCCGTGAGATATTCGGCGAGTCGCATGAAGGGTGCGCTGCATCCTGCTAATGGTGTTCGGCATCTTGTGCATACTTGCTTGCGTACGGATGGCAGCTGCGTATGACTTAATACAATTTCTGGTGCTTCACTTCCTGAGACAGTTGCAAGCACTGTGTAACTGCCTCGAGGGTGCTTGACCATTTTAACACAACGTGGTGCGATCATCCCCCTTGCGCGGAGTGAGGGTTCTCCACCCCGCACAACATGATCTACTCGACCACCAGTATGGTTACCGCCAAAAAAAAAACAGAGACAAAAAAAAAAACAACGGTACAACCTGATTGCCGAGTTAACGAAGTGAATTGGCTTGTTGTACAACGTCGTTGCCAAGCGACGAAAACCCAACCCCGATGGCAAACACCGGAGCCAGGGGGGGGGAGGGGGGGGGAGACGTGAAATATGCCATTTCAGGTATACGTAACCCCGGGAGTTCCAACAACAGCCTTAAATTTTTCGGTTGCAGTATGTATACAGCTTACGTCCAACGGATTAGCGGGACTTGATGTATCCATGTGATTTACTCCACAAACGCCCGTCGCATAAGCGAGGGACAGGGGCGACGGCGCAAGCATGTACCACACGTGCAAACTATCCAATGCACGTCGGCGAAAAGACAACCGTCGTTGATCCGGAGCTCTCACGGGATGGAGGTCTGTGGCCCTGGTTGGACTCGATGAACTCATTGCTAGCCCGTGGCACCGGTCGGAATCGATCGACGACTCATGCTAGGCGTCGGCCTAGGAGCCATCACACTAAGGACCGGAGACTCCGTCGTCTCGACGACCGAACGAGGTACTCACGCAACCGGACCCCACCACGCCCGAACCCTTGCCCTGAACGCAAGCGCGAGGTTCTAAAACCACGACGGCACGGCAAGATGCGATACAAGGGCCCTAAAATTGCACCTTGCCATACCCACGGTGCAACGAGCTACACGCACAGTCACAGCAAAGGGCAACAACAACAGCAACGACAACAGCAACGACAATAACGACAACAGCAGCAACAACAACGACAGCAACAAGGGCAACACACAACACCAACACCGCAACCAACAACAACAAAAACAAAAACAAAAACAGCAACAAAATTGGACTCGACTCGCCTGCTGGACGAGGGAGGCCACGATCCTGCTCCATTCCGCCTGTCTCGACGGCTCAATACCCCCACTCGCCGCCACCAATTGCCTAACCATGCGCTGGAACAAATCACGATTCGCGGTAGAATAGAGCAGAGAACGCGGTAAAGGGCTACAGCATGATACGAGGACTGAGGAAAGACTACAGAAATATCTTCCAGCCATCGCTCTTTCGCGGTGCAGCCATGGCTTGGCCACAGCGAATCGGGTAAATACAGCATCGAAAATTGGTTCCGCGGGGGGGGGGGTCATTCCTCTGCGAAAAATGAGAGTGGTGCAGGGGGGATGGGGGGTGCTGAACGACTAGAGGGGGACTAGCAAACGGTGTCCGACCCCACCCCAACAAACGGCAATCGCGACAAAAAAAAAAAAAAGCCCAGCTTGCCATTGCCGGCCAAAAAAAGGAACAGCAAGGCCGGGGGGCCCGCTACCAGGAAACATCAAGTTTGGGTCGACGCACAGTTTCACATTTCGTCGCCACCTTCGAGAGCATACACTGCTACGTAGGATACTTTGTGTGATCCGCCGCTGGCATGTGTTTCGTAGCCCCATTAGTTCATTCTCGGAGAAAACCTGCGCCTGCTTTTCTTAGCACGTGTGTCCTTAATGGCGGGCATGTGCTGTATCGCAAGGCTTGCAAGGTCCACTCTGGAAGAAAGGAAAAGTCGGTTTCAACGGAAAAAAGGGAGGAGGACAGCGCCTGCAATCTACGCCAGCTTGCTAGGGCAAGGAGTGGTATATAGCTAGCCCTCTTGTTGTCCCCATTCAGCAGCATCCGCCCACTTGCACGGACAAAAAAACTACACAAAGAACACCTAGGAAACCTGCAAGTAGGCTACCCCACGTCATCTGATGCAGTCCGAACCACGGAGCTCTGCCCCGGCCCCCTCCTAACAGCCTAGTAGGAGGGGGGGAGGTGAGAAATGAAATTCATTGAAGTAGTTGCCTACGCGAGGCTTGATATTTGTCTCGATAGGGTTCGATCAGACCGACACCAAACATGGAGGCAACGGGCAGGAGAAACCCAGAGCACCTTCATGAGAACAGGGCGGCAACGACAACACTACAACAACACGGGGACATACTGCTGCACCAGCAAAAAAACATTACCAACAGCAGCACCGATGACAACAACGACGACCACGACGGCAAGCAAAAACGGGAGCACTTGCTGTAGCAGCAAAAGCATGAACAACAACAACGTCCATGTAAAGAAGCCGAAATCAAACCATTAGGCTAGTCAGCCGCTGACTAGATTTCGGCTTCTGTAGATGATACTGCTGTAGATGACAACAACAACCGCCACGACGACGACCACAAGAACGTCTCCACACCTCCAAGTGAGCCACCGCCACCTGCTCCAGGGCAAACCTTGCCATCTCCGTCTCCTCCGGCCCTTCCACGTTCCCCATCAACGACTCCATGAACCCCTTGAACTTCTTCGCCGCGAACGCCCCCCCCCCCCCCCCCCCCCCCCCCCCCCCCCCCCCCCCCCCCCCCCCCCCCCCCCCCCCCC